TCTGGAGCCCAGTCACGCTGGGCTCTCACATTCTGACTAGATACTGTCCCCGTCTCACCTGTTTGCTCATCTAAGACTCGGTTCAGTCTGTTACAGAACCCTTAACCATTACCATTTAAATGACATTATGGGCCCTAACTGGCACCTTCATGCTTGTGAATCAGAGCCTGGGTCAACTTACCTACCACTGACTCACTGAATATTCATTTCAAGGAGTGCCTGATAAAGACTAATGGCCAATTTGCCTAAAGTCAAAATATCTGTTTACCAATTAAGCATTTTGATTAAATTATGAAATTTAGCTATATACCTAAAGACATATAATCATTATAACTCTACGGAATCCTATAATAATCCCCATTAAATGGATTAACAAGAATCAAAACAGTTGCAGGGCACCCAGATTTGAGGCCTTCAAACTCTCCCCCTCTGTCTCTCAGTCTCTGTAGCTATTGTCTCCCTGGCTCTCAGCCTTTCTGTGCCCCGTACGTCCTCTGCCTCCAGTCTCCCATTCTGTCTGTTCTCTGGCCCTCCCTGCCCCATTCTGGCCATGCCCTCCTTCTCTCTCAGCCCTTACCTCCTCTCCTCTACCCTGGGGTTCCCCCTCCAGATCCGGCCTGTATGTTTTGCTAATTCTCCTCTTCAGTGCTCCCCCAGAAGAAGGTCCCACATTCTTACCCAAATCCTTCCTGTTGTGATAATAGAACAGGGCAGAGATAAATTAACCATTTGGTAAAATGATGTCACAAGGACAAAAAAGAAAACTGTTCAAATAAAATTTCATAGAATCTTGAAAACACTTAAAAATACTCATACAAAATAAATTACTATAACCTTTATGAACCAGTAAAAGAAATAAATTTTGGCCAATTGATAAAGTTGACAAATTCATCAGAGTTGTCACAATGTGAAATTTGCCTCAAGAATTCCAATGATACTAAAATATTAGTAAAAGAGTAAATGACTCTAAAAAGAACTAGAAAACAAAGACGTACAGGCTGAAAGCCTCCTACGTGAAATGCTACATTTTTGTTATATTTATCAGAAGGATATATTCACACCCATATTCATAAGGATATATCTATGAATGCAGTCACAAAAATATACTTCTAAAGTGACTAAGCCTCCTTAGGAAACTTAGCTTTTAAAAAATGTAAAACTAATTTTAAAATACTGCAAAGAACATATTCATAAGAAATATATACTTTATGATTAAACATATTTTTGAAATATAATCTTAAAATAGGCAAATGAGAAATGTATTCATACGTACTATATATAAAACATTACTCTCTGAAATAAGTTTTTGTTAAATCTTTAAGTGTAGTAAAGTGGGCAAACTATGCATTTAGTTAACAGATCCTTCAATAAATTGGCTTTTTGTGAATTAGCCACTCAGTAATTGATCCTTTGGCAAACTGGTCCTCAGCATGTTGGCTCACCTCCCTTTTACACACCTCTCTGCTTGTTCTCAGTACCCAGCATTGTACTGATGGATATTTCACTCTGCTCCCCCAGGACACCGTGTCCTATTCACTTTGGACCCCCCAAACTTAGCACGTTGTATTTCTATGAAGACTTAGAAATGCTGACTAATTAATAAACATAATGGTCTTTACTATACCTTAACCTAAATATTTTTTTCCCTGTGAGACACATACCAGGACATTCTGAATATGAATGGGTCATGGTAAGGGAGAAAAATTTTCTTGCACTTTTTACTCTTTACATCCATATTTGGATATACACAGCTTTGTAGATAATTTCCTTATGAATTATAGGCTGAGTCCTAATAGCAAACTTTCAGAAACTACCCAAATATAAAGTCTGAAATAAAATTATTCTTTTTTGACTACTGTTTGGTGTAAAAATGGCAATTATTGATCAATCTTTCTTTTATAAGGTATTTATCTCAATAAGTTCCATTCCCCAAAAGCATTTGGGCAGAATTTTCCCCATATATGTAGTAAAGACTGCACATATCAAAACAAATAAACAAACAAAAAAGACTGCACATATCCCCTCCCATACTCACCCCAGTGCTATAAAGCATGGTGGTTTCCGATGCTCATCATCCAATTGCAAGTCTCCATCACTTGCTCATGTGAGCCCTTCTGTCTGAAATACCCTTGACTTGTTGTGTTATTTGGTTGGCTCTGATTCAACCTCAAAGGTTTGTTTAAGGTAGCACTCCTCCAGGAAGCCTTCCCTAACCTCAACCCAGGTTCTCTGTCCTGCTCCCTAAAGCTGGGAAATTTGCCCCTCTTCTGTATCCTCATAACGCTCTCTGAATATCTCCATCATTAAATTTACTACCCTATGCTGATAACTATTTCTGTGTCTGTCTTCCCATTGGACAGGGGCCATATCCTCAGTAAGAAAAGGTTACGAGCACTCAGTATAAGTTTATGGACCTAAACTGGACTCCTTGTTCTTCCAAATTATTTATTTATTTCTTCATTTACCCATTAATTCAACAATCATTCATGAATGAATCCCAGGGGTATATGCCCACTTCATTTTGCTGGGCAGTCTCCTGACTTCCCAGATGCTTTTGGGCTATGTGGAAACCAGTCATTTCAACCACACACACACACACACACACAGCAGAGCTTACAAAGAACATTTGGGAACCACTTTGGAATTGTGATTTGTTTTTGAATCACCCCTTTGAATCATTTTTGTATGTTTCTTGTTCTGGTAACATAACTGACTGATTACCCTCCATCTCTTTTGTGGGGATAGGCTGACCTAAGTGATGCTGCGTGACAGCCTCATTCTCTGGGATTGGGAGACTATTGCATCCTCCTCTCTGGCTTCCACCTGCAGGAAATGCAGATGTCAGTGGAGGTCATCAGTATTAAGTATGTGTTGATAAATAATGTTAGTGAACTAACATCCAATTATTACTTTACAGCACGTCTTTGAAGCCACTCAGACTCAGCCTGTCACCTCGGGCTTCAGAAGTTTTCCTGCCCACTGGCTTTAGCTACTAACAGGCAATGTTTTTGTTTTTAATTCAAGCTCATAAAGGGTCAAGTTTAAAGAGCTTTGATGTAAATCCTACATTTTCCAAAGAAAAACTCAAAAAAGAACAAGGAAATTTAGCGTATGAGTGATTGCCAGTCTGTGGAAGCCAAAAGCAGGGCAGGCCAGCTAATCCCGGGGCACTTGGCTCCGAAGCTGAAGAGTAAGGAGAGATCTGGCTTTCTGGGCCTCTGGTAATGACAATGAGCAGTCAGGAGAGCAATGAGGGGAAGAAGCCAGGAGGGACCAGCATGAAAAGACGATGAACAAAGGCCTTTATTTAGCTCTGACTCTGTCACTAGACAATGAGCCATTCCTCAAAAAAAGAGTAAGATTTACACAAAACACCCCTTGAAGAGCACTTTAAAATAATAATGATAATAAACTACTTGGTTAATCTTGCATGCTGATACCTAGATTAAGTACTCTGCTCCAAAACCTTATGGAAATACATTAAGAACCTACACATTCTCACACCTCTATAGGGAATCAAAATACTAAACATCCAGCCCGGAATAGACCAGCCAGCCAGAATAGACACCAGCCACAAACACCACTCAGGCCATCCTGGAGGGTGAAGCTAAATATAACATTGAATAAGCACACAATTGTACAAACAGGCATCTCTTCCCCGCCCCTGTAAAGTTCCACACTGGATTCTGCTCTGGTTCCTTTCCCCAGCAACAAGGGTGATTAGTGATAAAAATATTAACGGAAAATCTGAAGTTATTCTTGTGTGTATTGGCTTTTTGCCTAAAGCTAAAAAAAAATCACTTAAGCATTTCTTTTTCCATTTTCAGCTATTTGTCCTCCTCTGTGTCCAGGCCCTGAGGGCAGCGACTTCTCCACTCCCACTTCCCTACCATGCAAAGGGCCCCTCCATGGAATAGAAACAGAGACCCAAGCATGTCCTGGTCACCAGCCTGACCACGGCCTTCCTACTGCTGTTTCTCAGACACCTCCCAAGCACTGGCACCCCGGCGTTTTCTCCTCTTTCCCTTCAGACCTCCTTTCATTTTCTCTTCTTTCCCTCCAGTCCTCCATTCCTAAGCTTTACACACTATTTTCTCACCATGCTGTTGTTTAGAAATCCCTTGCAGGCTAGGAGCAATTTCTGTGTGTTCTCACACTTGGGTCACTGAGCCTCAGCTCTGTACCCCACTTCTGAATGAATTTATGACTCTGACAGTCATTCTCCTGGATGACTTAAACATTATTCTCACTTCTCGGGAAATGAGGGGTCAGGCAAGTAAGCAGGAAAGTCAGGGCTGAGCTCGGGAGACAGTGGGGTCCAGTCTTGTGCTCTTTCTTACCTTGTGTTGCTGCTCTAAAACAGAAAACAGTCCAAAGCTATGGGGTCTGGCCTTGATGTGACTGATACATATCTGACTCACAAGTGTTCACACGTGCAAGAAAAGAAGGTTGCGTCACCACTCCGCATCTTAACATTGCTGATAGATCTCAGGCATCCCTAAGCTTGAGAAAAATGTTAACCAAAACAACTGCCCTCTGTCTCTACTGAGGGACTCATGTGACAGATACCTGATGTGTGCTGCCATTCACCCTAATCAGTGCTCCATTAGATATCCAGAAAGCATAAAAAGCCCAGGGACGATCATCTTTGCCAAAGCATTATTCTGAGGGTTGAGGGGATTTTTTTCTTTCTTTAGAATTGGAGAGAAGGAAAATTAATTTACAGCCAGATGTGGACCCCCAAGGGAAACAAAGGGGACTTGTTTGTGCTCAGGGTTGGCGCCCACGCATGAGTCACGTGCCTATGCGTGCCGGTAGGTGCAGCTGAGTGTGGTGAGAGGCAGTGCGAACACACTGGGGCCCTATCGTGCTCAGGCAGGTTTGGGGGCCTCCTGTAGGCCTCTCTGCCCTAGGAAGTCATGGCAAAGACTGACCTACTCTCTACGGGCCGGCTGGTTAACTCTGAACTTTATGTAAGACTGTATCATTTTCTCCCTCAGAAATATTTACCAAAAAATCAGGGACCACGACCTCTTGGACAAAAGGAAAACAGTCACAGCGCTGAAGGCCGGAGAAGACCGGGCCATCCTCCTGGGGCTGGCCATGATGGCGTGCTCCATCATGATGTACTTCCTGCTGGGCATCACACTCCTTCGGTCCTACATGCAGAGGTGACGCCCGGGTGGGACGCCAACACTCTCCCCTCCTCTCCCTCCTACCCCTTCATTTAATCAACCCTAAGGTTGCCTGCTCTTCTGATAGGAACTTTGAGAAGTGTCTGGCATATAATAATGTTCAATAGTGTTATCTAAGAATAACGGTAAATATTGCTCTATGTATAACCTGCCTACTACACACCAGGGACAATCATGCATTGCCTGTGTAACCCTCACTACCACTCTGAGGTCAGTAGGAATACACTCATCATAAAAGTGGCAAAACCAGGGCCATTTGCCCAGTGTCAGAGCTCACACATGTGGCAGAGCTGGGGTTCAGACCTATGTCCCATTAATTCCAGAAGCCCTATTCCTGCCACTTCACACCTCTGCCCATTCTCCACCCTCCCCTTCCTCTCCACCCCACCCCACCATCACCCTCCACCAAGGTCAGATTTAGTTGCTCTGAAGTCTCTGTTGAAGTTCCCTGGGTTACTCTAATATGTGGTCTGGGCTGAAAGACATGGCATCAACATTTTAAAATCACAGATTTGAATCCTTTTCACTTTAATATTTAATTTAGGTTTACTAGATAGATAGGAAGGCAAATATACACAGCAGAGAGCTAGCAGTGCCCTGCCCCCTCCCCCCACCCCCAGGAAGCCATGTGGTAAGTCCCATCTCCAGCACCTCCAGCTGACTGTTGTCTGTAAGCTGAGCACATTAAACACGCGCAAGCCCAGCTCTGCTGCAGCTAATGGGGGGAAGAGTCACACAGCGGCTCAGCTTAAGGAAAAAAGACCCTTTCAGATTAAAAAAAAGAAAGAAATGCAGTTTCAATCCAAAAGCAAATCAGACTGCTTTGTGGCACTTGTTTTTCCATCTAAATTAATACTTTCATTTTAGAAGAAAAATCTGGCTGAAAGACAGCAATTTGCTGAAATTAAAGCATCATCTTTCACACTGCTGGCTGCCCTGCTCTGTCTCCCAGTGGTCTTCAGCTGTGCTCACTCTCGCCGACGTGCTGATGCCTCAAGCCCCAAGTTCTCCCTGATTCCAAACCTGTTTTCAGACCCTTACTCCTGCTTAGAACCATGTAAGGCTTTTCCCCTCATTATATAAGCAAAATCTGACCATCCATGTTCCAGGAAAATACAATTTGCCAAACCAGAGGGGGTCAGGTCTAGGATCCTGCCTCTGGAATAAAATGTCACAAGTGCAAAGGGGCGGGGAGCTGTCGATGTAGGACAAACAAAAAGACATTGGCCCACACAGAAAACATGCTGTTTTCCCATCCCGGTGAGAATCAGCTTCCACCCAGAAGCAAACCATGAATTACTAGTGCATTATTTCCTAATCACAAAGGTTAACCTTGATCATAAAATTAAAAGTATTTTAAAATGAAAAGTTGACCAATGAGCAGCTGGAAGCTTCCCAGCTGAGCAGTGCCAGGGCACCCTATTCACCCGTTGCTCTGCTTAGAAGAGTTTCTCTTCCATTTTGTTCCTGGAGAGGCAGCATAGCACAGCAGAATGAGCTCAGGCCTCAGAGAAAGGCAGCATTAGGTGGGATCACAGTTCCCATCACTTACTAGCCAGATTTCTCAGTTCACTCACCTATGAAAGGAGTTAGTACTCAACACACAGTACTCAACTCTACTCACATAAAGCACCAATTAGGGTGAGAGGGATGCAGTAAGTGATTTGTCTTACTATGATCAAAGGTCCACGTTACCTCTGATTCCTTATTAGAAAGACCTCAAGGGTCTATGTCACCGTCCTTCCATCTGTCAAGTTGGAGCCTAAGCCCCTCCGCCCAGCTGCCATCTTCCCTCCCCTTCTCCCTTATACCTTCTTCATCTACAAACTGGGCTGGGGTGGGGGTTGGGGTGGGATGAGGAAATTACAGAGGAAAATGTAGCAGAAGTAAGGGCTGGGGTGTGGCAAGAAACTGGTAACAATGTGGAAGTCCAGGTGGGTGCAAGTTGTGATATTAATACATGCTCTATGCTTGCTAGTAAATGTAACAAGGAAAAAAGTTAACTTAGACCAAGCACTGGAGAATACCACAGCCAATGGAAGTCATTGAGAAAGTTCTCCCATACCACCATTTTGTCTGTGAGGTCTGATAATTAAGTTTGTGAACTTGTTCTAGAAAAAGTCCTGGAACCTCATTGCTGATATCACTATGGCCACCTGTGAGACATTCTCCTTGGGAAGCTATGCACTGACTCTAGTCCCTAGTCCACTCTTCAAAGCAACTTGGGATCTCTTTTTTTAGAACAAGCATCAGAGCTGTCATTATATGAGGTTTGACAATTAAGTTAGTGATCTTGTTACCATGCACTTATATTGGCAGCACCATACAGACGATTTGGTAAGATTTCATAACCTAGGTCTATCAGGGTCTCACAGCTGTGTTCCTGTCCCTGTGTGGCACTGTCCTGATGAGTAGTGTTCATTATTGGAGTTGCATGTTTTTGTGTGCTGTATGATAAAAGCTCAATGGCCATTCCAGGAAAAGAGTTCCAAAATTGCTTTGAAGGGTAGACAAGGTGCTGGTGTCAGGGCACAGCTTCCCAAGGAGAGTACTTCACAGGTGACCATAGTAATATTCAGCAATGAGGTATGCAGCACTTTTTCTAGGATGAATTCAGAAACTTAATTATCAGACCTTATATATCATATTGTAGTTTGCCTGAAGCTGCTCTATTCAAAGGAATAAACTTTACACAGTAGATTGTATTATAGATTTGGGAAAGACTCTTCAGACTCAGGAGCAACGAAATGATTCCCTCTGATCACACCTTCCTCACTGTCAGCTCTTGGCCTGTGTTTACTCCCACCCCTCCTCTGTAGCGTGTGGACAGAAGAGTCTCAGTGCACCTTGCTGAATGCATCCATCACAGAGACATTCAACTGTTCCTTCAGCTGTGGTCCAGACTGCTGGAAACTCTCCCAGTACCCCTGCCTCCAGGTGTATGTTAACCTGACTTCTTCTGGGGAAAAGCTCCTCCTCTACCACACTGAGGAGACAATGAAAATCAATCAAAAGGTAAGAGTTTGGCCCCTGCATTCCTGTCACCCAGGTGATCTCTCTCTGAAGTTCCCCTTTGCCAACATGTCAAAGGAAAATACCACCAGAAGCAAGCCCTACTCTTTCATTTACAAAACTTGCTATTTGATTTCCTGCCCAGGAAATTTTATTTTCCATGCAAGTTGTGAACAAATCATTCTCCCATATTGTGGTGGTTCAGATTTAGCCTTGATGTTATTTAATTATATACAAATGGATTGAGTCCCTCTGAGCTTAGTGAGAGCTATACAAGCCTAAAACCAGATATTTGTCATGTACCTGGGAGCCATGGGATAAAACCATTCTGCTTTTTCATGGTCATTGTCACTTAGTTCTGTGACCTTGAGGATGTCACTTAACCTTTCTAAGCCTCAGCTGCCTTTTCTCTAAAAAGACAATAATAGGTAGTCACCTTGCAAGGTCATTGTAAAGATGGAAACTGGGTATGTAAAGTGTTAAACAAAGCACAGAACCCAGCCTGGTGGACACCATCAACCTGTGGTCACAGTGTGTGCTTGTGTATCTTTCTTCATAGATGTTATGTACCAGGAGGGTGAAATTGCCAACACTGCTCCATTCAAGTACATGTGGTGGATGCTCAACAAATGTGTGTTGGATTAAAGTCTCAGATAAAATTTACATTTGTATGATCTGGGATGACCAGTAAAGTGTCAGCAAAACCAACCTTCCATTATCAACTTTAAGTTAAATATATTGAGTTTGGGGTTTATGTAAAAATGTAAATGTCCAGAATTCTCTAATATGCCAAGACAACCTGCTGCCATTCTTTAATAGGGCACTTGGCTCATTACCAGGACACAACCCGCAAGAACTGTCATTTCTCTTGTAAAAAATACTCTTTTCATTACAATTATCAGTGCTTATGATATAACTTACAGTTATTTTTCAAAGTGCAGTAGCTTATAGTTTTAATACTAGAACATAAGAACGAGTAGTATTTGTTTCTGATACATTGACACAAAGCAGGGAAATCCACCCCATGTTTTGGTTACAATAACTTAAAACAGTTCTTTTAGAGATCTCTGAGCACTCAACATAATGAATATTTCAGAGAATGTTGTTTGAAAACGTTTGCTCTGATTCTCTTTCGCTTGTAGTAGCCACAGACAATACCAGTCACAATCCTGTGCTGTGGATACACGTGTAGAGAGCTCGGCTCTCTCACAAAGTGTTTGTCTTTCAAGATCTTCCCTCAAGTCAGATTTTTAAATCAAAGCTGACCTGTACTGATGAATGCCTATAAAACTCTCAAAGCCCCAAGAAATTGGAAAGTGGCCAACTTGAATAGGCATCAAAAACGGGAACATATTTCCATTTCCTCGTTTTGACATCTTATCACTACACCCTGTGAATGCATTATTTATGTTATAAACAGGGAGTGAGGTTACCAATAAAGGTTCCAGTTATGTATTCAGGGCCAGTAGCTTGGCTCCCTCAGCATGGAAGCAGGTCATCTTTTGCTTTATTTGCCTCACCACCTGCTTTTTAAATATAAATTCCAACACACATACAGAAACTGCGTGAAATGAAAAAGGGCAGCAGAAGTATTTACAAAGAGATCCTCTCATGTAGCCACCACAAGGGTAAAGAAAGAAAGCATTTCCTGCACCCCCAAACACCCTTCACACCCCCTCCAGTAACTGTAGGCTCTGCCCCAACCCCGCCGAAGATAACCACTGTCCTGACTTACTGTGGCAATTACTTCCTTATTTTTCTTTGTAGTTTTATTACCTAAGCATATATCCTGGAGCCTTGTATTTTAGTTTTGCCTCATTTTTAAACATCATATAAACTAAGGTGACCAGATTTTAACATTGGTAAAGCGGGACACCATTGACTAGGGGGGTGGGGGGATGGGAGGGTGGAAGGGGTGGGGAGGTGGTTCTTAATTAAAAATTTGGTCTATATGGAGCAACACAAATTTTCATAGAATGCAAAAATAGTATTGTAATATATATTTTTTAATTTCAACATGAGTACAATTTACAAATATAATACATTAAAAAATTATGTATAGTATTTTATTCTTTGGCATATTTCTCGTCAAATTCTAACAACTGATCAACAATGTGAACTTTGATAAGCAGTTCTCGATAATCAGTTCTCAACAATTATTTGTTATTATTAAAGTTTAACATTATAAAATTAAGAAAAATAATATAAAACTCATATCCTGGTGAAATAGCCACATGGCAGCCGAAAACTGTATATTCCCTTCCCCGTCTCCTGCCATTCCCTAGCTTGTCGTGCATTCTTTCAAAAAATCAGGACTTTTTTAAAACGCCATGGGATGCAGGACAAATTGTTAAAAATCAGGACTATCCCACCAAAAGCGGGAAGTCTGGTCACCTTAGTAGAAACAGAATCAAACAGAATATTTTCCTTTCTATCTGGCATCCTTCACACATTGTGTTTGTCAGACTCATTCCATTTGCTTGTAGCTCATTCATTTGCATTACTGGATTATATTTCATTGTATGAATATGCCACCTTGTTCGTTTTACTGCTGATGCATATTTTGAGTTGTCTACAGTTTGGAACTATTACAAATAATTCCACTATGATCATTCCCAGATCATAGAACACACAGCTGTCAAGTAGAAGCCTGGGAATATCTAGATTACAGGGTAGTCACATCTTGAAGTTTACTGTCAAGTAATTTGCCAAAGTGCCTATACCTAAAAACAGTCTCATCAAACCTATGGATGTGAGAACTCTTCTTGCTCAAATTTTCACCAACACTTGGTGACATCTATTAATGTAATTTTAATTTTAGCTATTGTGGTGTGATAGCTCCTGGCGGTTCTGATAACTAATGTCATCAAATGCCTTTTCCTTTCTTTATCTGGCCATTTGGACGTCTTCTTTTGTGCGATGTCTATTCAAGTCCCTTGACCACTTTCTATTGAATTATTTCTTCTTTGTATTCATCATAGGATTCTTTAAACACAAACCTTTGTGGGCTATATGTGTTGCAAACATCTTCTCTCCTATTATCTGGCCTTTTCACTCTCTGAGGGATGTCTTTTAATAAAAGCAATTTCTAATTTCTATGCAGCCAAATTTTGTCAGTCTTTTCCTTTTGGTTGGTGCTTTTGCTGTTCTGTTTAAAAAGTCTTTCCCTACCCCAAGGTCATAAAGCAATTATTGTTATTGTCATTCCTTTCACATAGAGAGCACAATCTGCCTGGAATTGATTTTTATGTAGGGGTTAAGTTTCAGGGTTTCTTTGCTTTGGTTTTTTCATCTGGACAGTATTCACTACTGTCCGTTTTTGAAAAGACTTTTTCCTCTTTTAATTATTTTACAATGCAATTCCCCCCTTATTTTCTCAGAAGTTATCTCTTCTGTTCCTGCTCTTTTAGTTTTTAGCCTACAAGATTACAACTTGCAGTCTTGACTAACTAAGGACATTTACACATTTTGACTCCACTTATTCTTTTCTGTTTATATGCTGTCATTTTTATTCTTCATATAATTGAGCTTTTATAGATATGATTCTTTTATAGACATTATTTTTATTGTAAATAGTAAATACTAATTTACATGAGTCTTCATATTTTTCCACTTTTATTATTATTTACTCCTTTATCTCTGTTCTTTTACCTGGGAATAATTTTCTATTGCCTGTAGAACACCCTTTATTAGTATTCATTTTAGCACAATGTCTTTGAAGAATTTTCTCAGTTTTCATTTCTCTGAAATAGTTTTATTTCATTTTCATTCTTGAAGGATACATTCAATGAGTGCAAAATTCTAAATTAGCTATTACTTTGTTTCCCTTGTCTTCCGGTGAGTGCTCCGACTGTTCAGAAATCTGCCCTCAGTGTAATTGCACCTTCTTTGATTTTAAAGATTATTTTCTAAAATAAATAAATAAATAAAGATGCTTTTCTTTGGGTTTTCTACAGTTTAACTCTCATGTGCTAAAGTGTGCAGTTATTTTTATTTAGTCTGCTCAACACATCCAGAGTTTCTTTCCTTATTCATTAATAATCCTTGTCAATTTTAAAAAGTTCTGCCATTAACTCATCAACCCTGATTCTGTGTTCATTCTCTCCCTCTTCTCTTTCTGGGATTCTAGTTGGCCATACACTAGGCTTTTCATTGTGTCCCCTTTTGTATTTTCCCTCATTTTATCTCTGTTTGCTTTTTCTGAATATTTACCTGTCTTCTAATTCAGCAGTTCTTTCCTCAGCTCCAAAAAATCTTCTATTAAACCCATCCATGAGTTCACAAGTTCTTTTACTATATTTCTACTTCTAGAATATTCAGTTGGGTCTTGTTTTGTCATTTCCCGTTTCCTGCAATGTTCTAATTCTTGTCTTCTAAATCCTTCAATGCAAGATGCAAGGTAGAAATAATAAAATCTGTTTTGATGCCTTCAGTATCTGAAGCCCTTATGTTCCTTTTCTATTTTTGTCTTCTCTTGTTTGTTTCCATGTTATCTTGTAATATCTAGAAATTTTTATTAGGTTCCAGAAATTACATCTGCAAAATTATTTATAAAAATAACTTTAAGACTAGGATGATGTCATGTTTTCCAAAAATTATTTCCATTTGTTTCTGCCAGGCCCTCAGGGCACTAGCATTCAGGATCACCTCCTTCTGACTTCATACATTGAGATATGCAAATCTGACTGTGGCCCCTGTGAGGACCTGTCTGTCTCAGGTTGACTACTGCTCTAATGACACAGCTTTTCAGAGGCACAACACAAAGTGAACAGGAAGGTCATCAAGCCCCCACCCGACAGCCTCAGAAATCATTTCCACCCATAGCTGTCTGAACTGCCACACAGCCTCCTGGGCTCAGATCTCCCTTCCACACAGAGCAAATGCTTCCCTGGGGAAAAGCACCAAACACTCAGCTCACTTTCCCAGTTCAGTCACTCTTTACTTGCTGGGTAGCTAGCCTCTGCTTCTGATCTGCACTATACATACTGAAAATACACAACCAT